ATATATATATATATATATATATCACCACGGAATAGTTTCGCCACCCCACGGCCCCTGCCCATTCCCCCCCTCCCCTCTGTTTTAGTTTAACAAACCTGTGACAACTTCCAGCTGGTGGACATTGCTGATCTGGGGACCATGCCGGAATGCCTGCCCGCTGATCCCAGCATTAGACAGAGTACCACCAATAGTAAGATGTAGGTAGTCTGTCCATGATTTTGGCGCTAATCCATATTTCAAGCTTTCATGCAGGACATTTATCCACAACTCACCACCAGAGACATCCACATATGGAGAACTTCCAGTGTAAACTTGGATTTCAGGGCCCTCGAGTGATTCCATATTGATGACAACTCCTCTTTGGGTTTGTGCCTGGCCCTGGAGCGAGTGGCCATGACCTCTAGCTGCAACTGTGAGCTCTGAATGAGGACCCATATCCCAAATATGCTTAATTGTAGTGGCTATATCAGAAACTGTTTTTGGATGTAGTACTGCCATAGGGAGGAACTGATATCTGTTGCCAAAATCTCTGGCTGCATGGTGAACTTCATGAAAGTTGAAATGCCCATCGAGGGGAAGTGTATTCAATGAGGAAGTGTTTGGAGAACAAAGGTTCAATTTGATGGTTACACAGCTCACGAACAAGATCATGAAGCCTTTTATGATAAAAGTGTTCATTGGTTTAAGGAAGTAAACTGGTGGATACCTCATTTTTTCTGTTAGAAGAGATGAAGGTAGCTGAAGGTGAAGGAGTTTAATCTTTTAGTTGTTTCTTAGTAAGGAAGGGTAAAAGGCAAAAGAAGAGGTGTAGAAGAGCCAAGAAAATAAATGGTTGAGGGGGGAATTTAAAGGGGAAAGCTTTGGGTGGCTGAGTCAACCCATCTTCATGTTATGAGAATCCGTATGAAGACTGCCTACTTGGGTGGAAGAGTTTTAGGATTTTCTTTTAGTTCTCTTTTTGGGGCTCTTTTGTTTATAAGAGAAGGCATCACACATATGCCAAGTTGAATGGAAAAAGTCACAAGAAAGAAAGATTTCACAAATCTTTGCACTTTTTCTAACAGTTGCAACCACAATCTCACCTTTTCCATTCTTTAAAATTTTCTGACTTAATGTTAATGATTTCTTCCCAATTATGCTATAAAATTAATGCCTCCGCAGCTCTGCCCGAATTCATATTGCTCCTCATCTGATGACAGGTATCCGGTATGCCCATATTCGTGTCTTGCTCACATGAATGATCAGATATGGTGCTGGCCTTTGAATCCATTGTTATCATAGTGTTAACATCCCGTATCTACTTGCAGATCGGATGAGAGAGACTGAGGCCTGCCCTTGATTCATTTGAGAGGGAGAAAGAGATGGAGCTGGTAGGGTTGTGATAGGGTCCATGTGACATGTGAAGTTGAAATGGTTTGTGTGCTTTTGTGGGGTGAAGTGGTATGATTGGTTTACATTGGGACCCCTTTTGGCTCACTTTGATAGGAGAAGAAGGAAGTAGGGCAAACTTGCGGATGGCAACTTGTAGGAAGCACTGAAAGACCAGCCCTTCTGCCCATCATCTGCTACTGCCGCTGCTATGAAGCCTTAGTTCCCAGCAAATGGACAAGTTTGAAAGATTCTCTTGTTTATATGTTTTTTTTTTCCTTTTTCAAGTGCAATTAAATTAGTCTAGTTAT